CTTTCTCTCTCTCTCTCTCTCTCTCCCTCTCTCTCTCTCTCACGCACACAAGCACGGACGCACGCACACGCATGCGCACGCAGCGCGCTGGGGGCAGCAGCCAGCGGCGCCGGCGCCGCCACCCCCACCACACCAGAGCTGCCTCTCTCTTTCTCTCTCTGTCTCTGTCTCTCTCTCTGTCTCTGTCTCTCTGTCTCTGTCTCTGTCTCTGTCTCTCTGTCTCTCTCTCCCTCTCTCTCTCTCTTACGCACTTAAGCCCTCCGCAGCCTCGTTTCATGACGACGCGCTCTCTCGCGCCAATTACGCTCATTACAGTATGGATGCAATGCCGGAAGTGTCCTCCCCTTCCCCCTCTCCCCATTCCCCCTCGCTCCCTTCCCTGCCATCATACACCGCTGCACTTCGAAGGGCGTTGTCTCATCCTGCGGTGTCCTCTGTCTCTGTTCCAGGTGGGGAGGCGAGCTGGAGCGAGGCGGACGCCCTGCGGGTGGCGGCCCAGCTGCACCGCTCGCTGTCCGAGACCGGGCTGGCCCTCCTCGTCAACCACGGCGTGTCCGAGGAGAAGGTGAGAAGGGAAATATCCTCCGTACGGCGCACAAGTACGGCGGCGACCGGACCAAACTACCGGCAGCGGCGTCGAAAATGGGACAAGATTTTTACACAATTACCTGATGGCTGAGGGGCGGGCTGGCGGCGTCGTGAGCGGGTGGGAAAGGTAGAGAGGTGCGCGCAGAGAAAGAGAGTGAGCCGCGCAGTGGTTGCTGACGGGGCTAAAGTTGGCGAAATCCAGCGGGCGCGAGCACGGCCGAAGGGGGGTGGGTGGGGTGGGGGGCACTCGCGAGCATGCATTATGCACGGCAGGCAGGCGCGAACGAGCTAGATGAGTCATGTCTCATGAGGCGACATACTATCGGGACGTGACCTCCCATGGCTGCATGGCTGCGCGCGTAGCGAACACAAGCGACTCGCCGAGGTGTAACTGGGCCTTCGAGGTGCGGCCGCGGGGTCGCGGTGGGTCGGCCAGGGAGGGGACGGAGGTGCGAGGTGCGCTAAACGAGGCGGTAATAAATCGGGCATTTTGCATTGCGGCCCGCGCCCGCATACAGTGCTCAAGTGTGTGCTGGGGGGGGGGGGGGCACAGCCCTCGTCCTGAGAAGGGAGCCGAGTCGACCCGCACCCAACCCGTTGGAACCGCTGGAACCTGAGGGAGAGCATCTGTCTGGCCGTGCTCCCCCTGCTGCCTAACTTCCCGCGGTGTCGAAGAGGCGGCTGCGAGGCGTCGTTGACCTTGCTGCCTCCGGTTGGGAGCGGGTGGGACTCGCGCCTATATACAGCCTACAGCAGAGCAGGTGCCGTTCTCGTGCCCGTTCGCCGCTGCCGCTGTCGGGCCATCGCGTCTCGGTATGCCCGCCGGGGTTTCGGTGCCTTCCGGGACGTCCCTGTGCAAGACCCGTTGCTAGCCTCCGTTCTTGGCGTACCCGCCCGGTCGGTACCCTACTGGTTACCTCCTCCTGGCCTGGACGGCGGGGCGGCGGCGGACCGGCCTCCAGTCTCGGGTCGGGGGCATTGCTCTGACTGGGGACGGGACGCGGCGGGGCCTAGCCAGCCGGACGAGGCGGGGCGGGGCGAGGTGGGGCGGGCGCTGTCTGCCGCCGCTGGCGCTGCCCGCACCGACGCAGGGCGAACATCACATTTGCATAAATTTGAGGAAGTCCTTGTGGGCGGCACCTGCGCCGCCGTTCTGCACTTCCTCGGTACAGTGAGGTCGGTGTGTGACGCGAAGTCTATCTGTTGCAGCTGCGCGCGGGCTACGAGGCCATGGACCGCTTCTGCGCGCTGCCCCAGGACACGCGGGACGCCTACCGCCGCATCCCGCCCCACCAGCACGGCTACGTCGCGCCGGGCACCGAGAGGTGAGCGCCCGAGCTGCCCGGGGTAGTCCACCCAACATACAGTGCGGGCACCTGTGTTCAACTGTGTCCGTTTGTCACCAGGCTGTCCGAGGAGTGGATCGGCGAGATCAGACACACGTTCAACGTGAGCCAGGGCGCTCCGCAGGGGAAGGTCCCGCCCGAGACCGAGGTGGCCGGCTTCCAGGGGGCCGTGGACGACCTCGGACACGAGTTCAAGCGCCTCGCTCGGCTGCTGCTGCAGGCCATTGCCTTAGGCCTCGGTGAGGAGCAAAGGGGTCGGGGGTAGGGAGAGGGCGTCTCGGGCTGTCTCGTCTCGCCTGGCCGCCAGGAGACCAGTGTTGACCTTGGTCTGGCAGGGCGGGAAGGGAGGGAGGGGGCGGGAGGGGCTCTCGACCAAGATCAGGTTGAACCTTCCCACAAGGCAACGCCCTTCAACAAGAGCGTTTTGCCCATGTTGCAGAGCTGCCGGTGGACTTCTTCCTGGAGCACCACAAAGGCGTGGCTGAGCTGGCGACGCTGTGCGAGGCCGGCGACGCCACGCCGGCCGTGGTCGCGACACCCCCAGAGGCGGACGCGGTGCCGCAGGCGCAGCCGCCGGCCGGCAACGAGTCCTCCCTCCGCCTCGAGTTCTACCCGCCCTTCGTGGCGCCCCCGCCGGCCGGGGTGACGCGCTGCGGGGAGCACACGGACTGCGGCACCCTGTCCATCATGGCGCAGGACAGCGAGGGTGGCCTCGAGGTGCAGACCGCCGACAAGCAGTGGGCGCGGGTCGGCCACCTGCCCGGCGCGCTGCTCATCAACACGGGCGACGTCATGGGCGCCTGGACGTGCAACAGATACGCACCGACGGTGAGTGTCCGTCTCTCCCTATCTCTCTCCGACGCGCGTGCTAATTTTCCAGATTTGTCCCCGTCTCTCCTTCACGTCCTGGCAAACGCGTATACCACATGCACGCCACGGGTGCGAGCGTGTTGCCTACTCGCACGGGGCCGTATGGCGCCACGGCTACACACGCGATAGGATAGGCAAACACGTCCGCAACTGTGCATGCGGGCTAGTGTACGCGTTTGCTGGGACGGGGCACAGTGACCAGCCTTTAATTCTGCTAAATGTTT